AGGCGCGCGAATAGGGTCCTACCAGTGTATTCTTTGGGTTGCCTTCATAAAGTGTAAGTTCGATTACATCTAGTTCCAAGCGGTAAAGAAGGGCAAAAGAAAGCCTGTAGAAGTCTTTCCAGTCCCTCTGTCCAAGAAAATATGTTTGCGCGCACCGATCTACTGCCCGATTTCTAAATGATGTATCTAGTGGAGGATGGCTATTGTAGTATTCGATAGAAAGCAAGAATCAACAGAATTTGACTCGCTTGCAAGAGCTGATTCTCTGTAGGCCTGCGCTTATATCACTACCACGAATCCCCTTCTACATGACCTACTTGAGTGATATCGTACTCACCAACCGAACTAGAATGAGCCTACGAAAAGAAAGAAAAGGGGATGAACGAATAAGGGCAAGAGGGAAGAGTTTTCACTCGTGCTACTTAATTGGCAGCAGAGGAAGAGTCTGTTAAGAATTCTAGATCTCGGGGTCGAGTCGAGGAAGTAAGAATAGTCGAAGTCAAAGTGGAAAGAGAACCTAATTTGAGTATTAGGCACATGCACTTGCTCTGGCTTCTTAAGAAAGATTGAGACGACAAGCGGCACGTTTGAGTGGGTAGTAGATAAAATAGGAACTTCTTACCAGGGGGAAGATTTGTTGACTTATCGACCAGGCCTCCATGAGGCTACAGTAATACCGGACTGAGATGATGAAGCCATTTACCCCCTAGCTACCTGAATAACAGATAATCAGACTATCGGGAGGATGGATTGGGGCTAACAAAAAGGCTATCGCTCATTTATAGCATACCAGCCTCTTCACTTTGCTTCTCGCTCTCCTATAACTCTAATCAAGATGCTTTCCACAAGGGTATGAAAGATTTGGATAAAGTATCACTCTCGATGGCAAGGCTGGGGAAGATTGATCTAAGGGGTGAACCTATTTCCGGATTCCTTCTAGTGCTTAAGGTGCGTAGCGCTTTTAACGCTTTCTTAATTGCGCAAGAATGAATATATTAGTAAGCCATGGAATTGATTGATCAAAAATAATAATATACTTCAACCGGCCATACATAACATAGAAATAACACTTGGAAATGGTGGACAATTAGCTAGAGCAGCAGGTGTTGTAGCGAAACTTATTGCAAAAGAGGGGCTACATTAAAATTACCTTCTAGAGAGGTCCGTTTGATATCTAAAAACAGCTCAGCAACAGTCAGACAAGTAGGGAATGTTGGATTAAACCAGAAAAGTTTGGGCAGAGCCGGAGCGGCTAGGTAAGCGTCCTGTAGTAAGAGGAGTAGTTATGAATCCTATCCACATGGTATGGTGAAGGGTATAAAGAAAGGCTTTTTATCTACCAATTGGGGCTAACCGAAGTCTTGGATTTATCGGTAGTGGTATCCCAATTATCTTCAATTACTTAGTGAGAGCTTATCGAATTGATGTAAGGCAGGGATACCATGTAGGAGGCCTGATCATACACCTTAACTCACTAGAGCAAGCGCCTTGAAACGTCGGTGACCACCCTGTCGGTAGAGTGGCTTTCTCCTAGAGTGTATAGCTCATTCGAAGTTCGACCTTATGAAACATAGAGCTGTCAAAGTCCTCTCCTTCTAGTTGTTCTTACAGTCAAGTGACTGGTCAAGCTGAGGGTCAATTTGCTAGTTTCTTAGAAGGCTTGACTTCTGTAGTCTAATTCCGGGGATTCTTTCAACTCATGTTTGTTGGAAAAGACAGAGGGGTTATGTTACTAAATGGCTGCAACCTTTCATTTTTTATTCTTTTCCTTGGCCGTTAGGATTGAGACTATGATCTTCGGTTAACCATGTTCCAGCTAAAAGCTAGTCGAACTAGAGCCTGCCTTACGAGGGAGAATTCCAACTGTTAACCAAAGCGCTGATCTCTTCTTTCCTAGTGAGTCATATTCCACTTTGTCTGCTATTTAAGTCTTCCCCGTTCTTGTCGGCATAAGGACTGCCGGTCTTAAACTCTTGGCTCTGACAATCTCAAAAGAGAGAGTAGCCACCCTTCCTCCAAGACTTTAATTGGGAATTTATCGCCTGCTGGTTTGATTAGGCCTTTGTGCCTGGTATGAACTAAAAAATCCTTTCATCCTAATCCGCCTTTCACTCGTCCCTCGTAGAAGACAAATGTGAGGTAGGCCTAAAAGACCTACTTTCCTCCTTCCAATCCGGGAGTGAATCTGTCTAGTTATATTTTGACTAATCCGAATCTGTGTACTGAGTAAAAGCGGAATATCCTCTCTCAATTCTTGGTAGAGGGAAGCCCCATGACCGACCAACCGAGGCAGGGGTAGATAGAGGAAGAGAAGATTTATTGAATGCTCTCGGGCATTGATTGAGGTAGTCAAAAATTATACTTCACTCGGATCTTATTTATTGTGTCGTGCTGCCTCCTTAACAACCTCTCCTTCCTCAACTGTTTGGTACACTCCCTTGGCTACTTGTACTGATAACGCTGGGACTAATTGAACTCAGGCTGATTTCTCCTCTTCTGATTGCCCTTCTTCAGGCACAACCATACCTTCTGGCAATGAAATTGGATTTATCCCCGCTCGATTTCTTTCTTGTAGTCATCGCCGAACCTGAGCTCTTCCCCCTAAATCCTTTCTATTGCGGCTTTCGAGCTACTCGCTACTATAGTGACAAAAGTCCAGTTGACGTAGCGTAGGCGGAAGAAGATCGGACTAAGTTCCTTTCCCCATCTTGGGTGGATTAGAAGCATTAAAAGATCTTCCCCATCCCTATTGGAATGAATGCTTGAATAGTCCTTTCCCCTTTGGCCAAGCTAGTAAAGTACCTCATTCTATCATTTCTTACTTGACTTTTTTGACTGTAGCGGTTACGGCTAGACTACTTTGCTCAGCCACTCCTTGCTTCATTTTTGAATGGAAAAGAAAGGCTATTTTCAATTACGGACTTAGGGACCCGTGTCAAAAAGATGTCTTTCGCCCTGAGATAGATTTCTTTCTCAGATCCTCTATATATTATACATTGGTTCAAGAAGGTCCTTCCAAACTGGATCATCCCACTCACTGTCTGTGGGGTAGGAGGTTGTCACCGACAGAGCGCAATTACATCATAACTGAAAGAGAAGGAATCACATGGTACATTTTGTACAGAAGTTTCGACATTAGCTATTAGATTAGGCACAAAATGGTTTATGTGGACCACTAGGCCTTGACAAAAAAAGCATAGGTACTTATTGGCTGAGCATGCGAGACGATGTTTAGGAAGATAGGATTCTTGAGAACAAGAGCCATTCGTGGTCACATGAAAGCGGCAATAGAGAATCCTCCTACTGCTAGGCTAAAGGCAAAGATCACAGCAGTACTTGCTAAAGTCCCCTATCCTGAACGTGTGTTATGTAGAAAGTAGTTAGCTGCTCCTCCTCACCTAGGAGGGCCGATTGATTGACCGAGATGGGAATCAATGCCTAGTTCCGGATTCGGACATGAATTATAACTATACAGATTGTATAAGTTAAGGTTCAAGTTAAGGGATTGGATAATGGATCTAGCTTGTGCATCTTTTCGTTCATAGTGGGATATAGCCCGTCCCCTTTCTTTGGTCTATGACCTTTTGCTTCTGTTAATGAGATCATTGGCTAATCTATTATATAAGATTTCATTCAACGAGTCCCTCTAAACTTTTCTTTGACAGCTGCTCTCGCTTCGTGGCTTGCAGGGCCTGAATCGAATGCTCGAATGTACTTGCTATTCTTTGTGGAACCTTCTACGATCTACCCTCTTTCTCGATATCCCAATTCTAGCGTTCGTTAGCAGAAGTAGAGATAGGGGGAATTTATCTTTTTCTGTGAAAATGACAGAAGCCACTATAAAGGGAAGAAGCTAATCCAGCCCCTTGACCCGCGAAGCGCTACGCTCCTGCTTACGAAAAACGACTTTCCAAGCGAACTACTGAAGACAGACTACTCTACTGGGAGTGGGAATAAAGCTCTAGTCCTTAGCCCTGAACTCCTTCAATATTGCACCTACTACCAAAGAAGTTAAGCCTACTTTACGCACTTCCACACAAAGCAGGCAAGGAATCAGTCCCAACAACGTCTACGTTAACAAAGGATACTGTAACAAGAAAAGTGCTTGCTCCACCAGCCAGCAGCTCCTTCTTTCATAACCGAGTCTGGCTATCTTCCTGAGACTGGTATCCTTACTGAGGGTATTACCCCAGCATCGGCAACTCTCACTGCGGTTGTGAAATCTCGACGCGCTACCGCCGCTTTATTTAAGAAAAAACTAAACTAGAGCTAGAAAGCAGAGGAAAACTGATCGTTGCTGAGCTTGCCGTTAAAGAGTCAGATGCTGATTATATAGCTGCTCTGATTCCTTCACCGACCGAGAACGAGAAGGAAGTTTTTTATTACGAACAAGCGCTAAAGAAGGGGGTGGGATCTCTCCTAAAAGAAAGAATTGACCTCGAGCCTGTCCTACTTATTCTTATTTTCCCGTTCCTGACCCTCGGATCAGTTGGCAAATCGAATCCCACGGGTACTTTACTAAAAAAAGGATCCTACTTTATAAGGCTTCTCGAACCAGACCAGAATCTTTGAAGCTCTATGGGAAGACTGACTCTAGGTACACAGAAAGACCAAGCTAAGCCAATCTCACGTCGAAACAGGGAAATTTTGGCCCTTGAAAGCAGCCCACTTCGGAGTCTCTCACAGGAGAAGGACTGACCTTTTCTCTCATTCCTATCGAGAAGACTAAGTCAGGGTGAGCTCTTACTTAGAGAGATTTAGTTGGGTAGGGTCACTCTAAGATCAAGAAATCCTGAGTCACGAGAGAGATTCTCCACACGAACGACCCGTCAGGTTATAACTTACATTGGTGAATCGGACCAACACCTATCTTACACCAACAAGGAGAAGGAGTCGCTTTTGTTACGCAGTTTGAAAGCTTAAGCCTTCCTACATATGCGGGCCCACCGGTTTAGTTTAAAGAGTCCTCTATCCGGACTCCCCCTAGACCTCTGTCTGGCCTAGGGAACTTCTCTAAGCTCGAGAGCTCCTGTCTCCTCACAGCGTAAGCGGCTCACCTCTCCCTGGAAACAAACCAAAGCAAGCAAACTAACGACGAGAAAGTCTCATGGTACGTCTTCTAGTCCCTTTGATTCCCAATCGTGCATGGCGATAATAAAACAAAATCGTAGGCCGCCTTTTGCCCCGAATTTTCATTTACCAAGGAATCACGGTTTGTGGAAAGCTCCTCCAAAACCTTCGCTATTTTAAGGCGTTTTTCCGGGGAATCCGCCACTTCCCCTTACTTATGCCTTTTGCTGCTCCACAATGCTCTCTCCAAAATGAAAGTTAAAGAAGCCCGCGTACCCACTCTTCTTTCCCCCCCATTGCTGGGGGCCTCGTCCTTAGGGATTACACCTTTCAAAAGGATAAACTTAGAAAACAAATAGAATCAAAAAGGCCATCATTAATGCGAACAAGGCAATAGCCTCGGTTAGAGAAAAGCCCAGGATTACATATCCGAATAACTGTTTTGCCAATGATGGATTTCTTGCCACGTAATGAATTAATGAACTGAATACGTTTCCAATACCTACAGCAGCTCCCGCTGAAGCAATTGTAGCAGCTCCAGCACCTATTGATTTTGCACCTTCTAACATCTCGAATGGAGAAAAACTCATCACGCTCTTTCATTCACGATTTTTTATTCTCGTCGCTTCAAAACCTCGTTCCTTTTCTCTTGGACATCTCACTTGAAATGCAATAAATGCATTCATTCTTTTTAGTAAAAGAAAGCCTCTCACCGATATCCTATTTGTAGATATGGGTCCGTAATTCTATTATTATATTATAATAGGGTGGTAATAGTTCCTATATTTTCCTATCGAACAACAAGTCTTAATGTATCGTCGACTTGATACTACCAGCTTAGATACATGTACCGGATGAGGCGGAAACCCATACTAAAAATCATAAAGGAAGACCCATGCATCAATCAAGATCTCTATCTATAATATAACATACCTCAGGTTGGATTCAACCACTTAGGATGATGATCTGCAAAACCAAACCCCATGACATTATGCTCTGCCAGTCTTCCCCTCTTCTAGCTATTCGCATGCGTCGATCAATCATATTCGGCAAAATTACCTGATAAAGTATGCACCAAGGATCCATTACATTAAACTAAGTGCATGATAGACCGATTCTTATATCCTTTGAATGTGACCACTGGTTAGATTATGATTATGTAAATGGATCCCCATTAAGTCGGGTCTGTGGACAATGTTTTAATGGATCACCCCTGATGCCTGATGGGCAAAAGAAAAACATGAGCCCAATACGGTACCTCATAGGGCAATCATTGTACTTAGGGTCACTCTCCCATCTGTTATCTTCATTGTATCGATTCAGTCTGGTCGATCAGGAGAGCAAGTGCGAGAGAGATTGAAATAGCTATGCCCAACCTATCCATACGTGCTTGTTGAATCAATTGTATTCCGATAGCGCGGCAACTCATGTTGTTTATTCCTTTCCTAATCCAACATCCAGTAGGTCGCTGAATATGGGCATGCCCGAACGCAAAAAAGGCTATCCGAGATACTCTTTGGTTCCCTCTCAAGCAAGGCTAGAGTCAAAGGAGGAACTCTCGACTCAAATAGGTGTGATATCGAAGTGGACTCAATTGTCTAATATCTTCTCTTATGCTATTATTTCGTCGAGTACTCAAAATAAGATGAACAAGCGAGAGGAAAGAACCTCACATAAGCAAGCAGTCCGGTCTACTCGCTTTTGGCTCGCTTGCAAGAGCTGATTCTCTATAGGCCTGTGCTTATATCACTACCACGAATCCCCTTCTACATGACCTACTTGAGTGATATCGTACTCACCAACCAAACTAGAATGAGCATACGAAAAGAAAGAAAAGGGGGTGAACGAATAAGGGCAAGAGGGAAGAGTTTTCACTCGTGCTACTTAATTGGCAGCAGAGGAAGAGTCTGTTAAGAATTCTAGATCTCGGGGTCGAGTCGAGGAAGTAAGAATAGTCGAAGTCAAAGTGGAAAGAGAACCTAATTTGAGTATTAGGCACATGCACTTGCTCTGGCTTCTTAAGAAAGATTGAGACGACAAGCGGCACGTTTGAGCGGGTAGAAGATAAAATAGGAACTTCTTACCAGGGGGAAGATCTGTTGACTTATCGACCAGGCCTCCATGAGGCTACAGTAAGACCGGACTGAGATGATGAAGCCATTTACCCCCTAGCTACCTGAATAACAGATAATCAGACTATCGGGAGGATGGATTGGGGCTAACAAAAAGGCTATCGCTCATTTATAGCATACCAGCCTCTTCACTTTGCTTCTCGCTCTCCTATAACTCTAATCAAGATGCTTTCCACAAGGGTATGAAAGATTTGGATAAAGTATCACTCTCGATGGCAAGGCTGGGGAAGATCGATCTAAGGGGTGAACCTATTTCTGGATTCCTTCTAGTGCTTAAGGTGCGTAGCGCTTTTAACGCTTTCTTAATTGCGCAAGAATGAATATATTAGTAAGCCATGGAACTGATTGATCAAAAATAAGAATATACTTCAACCGGCCATACATAACATAGAAATAACACTTGGAAAGGGTGGACAATTAGCTAGAGTAGCAGGTGCTGTAGCGAAACTTATTGCAAAAGAGGGGCTACATTAAAATTACCTTCTAGAGAGGTCTGTTTGATATCCAAAAACAGCTCAGCAACAGTCAAATAAGTAGGGAATGTTGGATTAAACCAGAAAAGTTTGGGCAGAGCCGGAGCGGCTAGGTAAGCGTCCTGTAGTAAGAGGAGTAGTTATGAACCCCATCCACATGGTGTGTTGATGGGTAGAAAGAAAGGCTTTTTATCTACCAATTGGGGCTAACCGAAGTCTTGGATTTATCGGTAGTGGTATCCCAGTTATCTTCAATTACTTAGTGAGAGCTTATCGAATTGATGTAAGGAAGGGATACCATGTAGGAGGCCTGATCATACACCTTAACTCACTAGAGCAAGCGCCTTGAAACGTCGGTGACCACCCTGTCGGTAGAGTGGCTTTCTCCTAGAGTGTATAGCTCATTCGAAGTTCGACCTCATGAAACATAGAGCTGTCAAAGTCCTCTCCTTCTAGTCGTTCTTACAGTCAAGTGACTGGTCGAGCTGAGGGTCAATTTGCTAGTTTCTTAGAAGGCTTGACTTCTGTAGTCTAATTCCGGGGATTCTTTCAACTCATGTTTGTTGGAAAAGATGGAGGGGTTATGTTACGGAATGGCTGCAACCTTTCATTTATTATTCTTTTCCCTGGCCGTTAGGATTGAGACTACGATCTCCGGTTAACCACGTTCCAGCTAAAAGCTAGTCGAACTAGAGCCTGCCTTACGAGGGAGAATTCCAACTGTTAACCAAAGCGCTGATCTCTTCTTTCCTAGTGAGTCATATTCCACTTTGTCTGCTATTCAAGTCTTCCCCTTTCTTGTCGACATAAGGACTGTCGCTCTTAAACTCCTGGCTCTGACAATCTCAAAAGAGAGAGTAGCCACCCTTCCTCCAAGACTTTAATCGGGAATTTATCGCCTGCTGGTTTGATTAGGCCTTTGTGCCTGGTATGAACTAATAAATCCTTTCATCCTAATTCGCCTTTCCCTCGTCCCTCGTAGAAGACAAATGTGAGGTAGGCCTAAAAGACCTACTTTCCTCCTTCCAATCCGGGAGTGAATCTGTCTAGTTATATTTTGACTAATCTGAATCTGTGTACTGAGTAAAAGCGGAATATCCTCTCTCAATTCTTGGCAGAGGAAAGCCCCGTGACCGACCAACCGAGGCAGGGGTAGATAGAGGAAGAGAAGATTTATTGAATGCTCTCGGGCATTGATTGAGGTAGTCAAAAATTATGCTTCACTCAGATCTTATTTATTGTGTCGTGCTGCCTCCTTAACAACCTCTCCTTCCTCAACTGTTTGGTACACTCCCCTGGCTACTTGTACTGATAACGCTGGGACTAATTGAACTCAGGCTGATTTCTCCTCTTCTGACTGCCCTTCTTCAGGCACAACCATACCTTCTGGCAATGAAATTGGATTTATCCCCGCTCGATTTCTTTCTTGTAGTCATCGCCGGACCTGAGCTCTTCCCCCTAAATCCTTTCTATTGCGGCTTTCGAGCTACTCGCTACTATAGTGACAAAAGTCCAGTTGACGTAGCGTAGGCGGAAGAAGATCGGACTAAGTTCCTTTCCCCATCTTGGGTGGATTAGAAGCATTAAAAGATCTTCCCCATCCCTATTGGAATGAATGCTTGAATAGTCCTTTCCCCTTTGGCCAAGCTAGTAAAGTACCTCATTCTATCATTTCTTACTTGACTTTTTTGACTGTAGCGGTTACGGCTAGACTACTTTGCTCAGCCACTCCTTGCTTCATTTTTGAATGGAAAAGAAAGGCTATTTTCAATTACGGACTTAGGGACCCGTGTCAAAAAGATGTCTTTCGCCCTGAGATAGATTTCTTTCTCAGATCCTCTATATATTATACATTGGTTCAAGAAGGTCCTTCCAAACTGGATCATCCCACTCACTGTCTGTGGGGTAGGAGGTTGTCACCGACAGAGCGCAATTACATCATAACTGAAAGAGAAGGACTCACATGGTACATTTTGTACAGAAGTTTCGACATTAGCTATTAGATTAGGCACAAAATGGTTTATGTGGACCACTAGGCCTTGACAAAAAAAAGCATAGGTACTTATTGGCTGAGCATGCGAGACGATGTTTAGGAAGATAGGATTCCTGAGAACAAGAGCCATTCGTGGTCACATGAAAGCGGCAATAGAGAATCCTCCTACTGCTAGGCTAAAGGCAAAGATCACAGCAGTACTTGCTAAAGTCCCCTATCCTGAACGTGTGTTATGTAGAAAGTAGTTAGCTGCTCCTCCTCGCCTAGGAGGGCCGATTGATTGACCGAGATGGGAATCAATGCCTAGTTCCGGATTCAGACATGAATTATAACTATACAGATTGTATAAGTTAAGGTTCAAGTTAAGGGATTGGATAATGGATCTAGCTTGTGCATCTTTTCGTTCATAGTGGGATATAGCCCGTCCCCTTTCTTTGGTCTATGACCTTTTGCTTCTGTTAATGAGATCATTGGCTAATCTATTATATAAGATTTCATTCAATGAGTCCCTCTAAACTTTTCTTTGACAGCTGCTCTCGCTTCGTGGCTTGCAGGGCCTGAATCGAATGCTCGAATGTACTTGCTTTTCTTTGTTGAACCTTCTACGGTCTACCCTCTTTCTCGATATCCCAATTCTAGCGTTCGTTAGCAGAAGTAGAGATAGGGGGAATTTATCTTTTTCTGTGAAAATGACAGAAGCCACTATAAAGGGAAGAAGCTAATCCAGCCCCTTGACCCGCGAAGCGCTACGCTCCTGCTTACGAAAAACGACTTTCCAAGCGAACTACTGAAGACAGACTACTCTACTGGGAGTGGGAATAAAGCTCTAGTCCTTAGCCCTGAACTCCTTCAATATTGCACCTACTACCAAAGAAGTTGAGCCTACTTTACGCACTTCCACACAAAGCATGCAAGGAATCAGTCCCAACAACGTCTACGTTAACAAAGGATACTGTAACAAGAAAAGTGCTTGCTCCACCAGCCAGCAGCTCCTTCTTTCATAACCGAGTCTGGCTATCTTCCTGAGACTGGTATCCTTACTGAGGGTATTACCCCAGCATCGGCAACTCTCACTGCCGTTGTGAAATCTCGACGCGCTACCGCCGCTTTATTTAAGAAAAAACTAAACTAGAGCTGGAAAGCAGAGGAAAACTGATCGTTGCTGAGCTTGCCGTTAAAGAGTCAGATGCTGATTATATAGCTGCTCTGATTCCTTCACCGACCGAGAACGAGAAGGAAGTTTTTTATTACAAACAAGCGCTAAAGAAGGGGGGTGGGATCTCTCCTAAAAGAAAGAATTGACCTCAAGCCTGTCCTACTTATTCTTATTTTCCCGTTCCTGACCCTCGGATCAGTTGGCAAATCGAATCCCTCGGGTACTTTACTAAAAAAAGGATCCTACTTTATAAGGCTTCTCGAACCAGACCAGAATCTTTGAAGCTCTATGGGAAGACTGACTCTAGGTACACAGAAAGACCAAGCTAAGCCAATCTCACGTCGAAACAGGGAAATTTTGGCCCTTGAAAGCAGCCCACTTCGGAGTCTCTCACAGGAGAAGGACTGACCTTTTCTCTCATTCCTATCGAGAAGACTAAGTCAGGGTGAGCTCTTACTTAGAGAGATTTAGTTGGGTAGGGTCACTCTAAGATCAAGAAATCCTGAGTCACGAGAGAGATTCTCCACACGAACGACCCGTCAGGTTATAACTTACATTGGTGAATCGGACCAACACCTATCTTACACCAACAAGGAGAAGGAGTCGCTTTTGTTACGCAGTTTGAAAGCTTAAGCCTTCCTACATATGCGGGCCCACCGATTTAGTTTAAAGAGTCCTCTATCCGGACTCCCCCTAGACCTCTGTCTGGCCTAGGGAACTTCTCTAAGCTCGAGAGCTCCTGTCTCCTCACAGCGTAAGCGGCTCACCTCTCCCCGGAAACAAACCAAAGCAAGCAAACTAACGACGAGAAAGTCTCATGGTACGTCTTCTAGTCCCTTTGATTCCCAATCGTGCACGGCGATAATAAAACAAAATCGTAGGCCGCCTTTTGCCCCGAATTTTCATTTACCAAGGAATCACGGTTTGTGGAAAGCTCCTCCAAAACCTTCGCTATTTTAAGGCGTTTTTCCGGGGAATCCGCCACTTCCCCTTACTTATGCCTTTTGCTGCTCCACAATGCTCTCTCCAAAATGAAAGTTAAAGAAGCCCGCGTACCCACTCTTCTTTCCCCCCCATTGCTGGGGGCCTCGTCCTTAGGGATTACACCTTTCAAAAGGATAAACTTAGAAAACAAATAGAATCAAAAAGGCCATCATTAATGCGAACAAGGCAATAGCCTCGGTTAGAGAAAAGCCCAGGATTACATATCCGAATAACTGTTTTGCCAATGATGGATTTCTTGCCACGCAATGAATTAATGAACTGAATACGTTTCCAATACCTACAGCAGCTCCCGCTGAAGCAATTGTAGCAGCTCCGGCACCTATTGATTTTGCACCTTCTAACATCTCGAATGGAGAAAAACTCATCACGCTCTTTCATTCACGATTTTTTATTCTCGTCGCTTCAAAACCTCGTTCCTTTTCTCTTGGACATCTCACTTGAAATGCAATAAATGCATTCATTCTTTTTAGTAAAAGAAAGCCTCTAACCGATATCCTATTTGTAGATATGGGTCCGATTCTATTATTATATTATAATAGGGTGGTAATAGTTCCTATATTTTCCTATCGAACAACAAGTCTTAATGTATCGTTGACTTGATACTACCAGCTTAGATACATGTACCGGATGAGGCGGAAACCCATACTAAAAATCATAAAGGAAGACCCATGCATCAATCAAGATCTCTATCTATAATATAACATACCTCAGGTTGGATTCAACCACTTAGGATGATGATCTGCAAAACCAAACCCCATGACATTATGCTCTGCCAGTCTTCCCCTCTTCTAGCTATTCGCATGCGTCGATCAATCATATTCGGCAAAATTACCTGATAAAGTATGCACCAAGGATCCATTACATTAAACTAAGTGCATGATAGACCGATTCTTATATCCTTTGAATGTGACCACTGGTTAGATTATGATTATGTAAATGGATCCCCATTAAGTCGGGTCTGTGGACAATGTTTTAATGGATCACCCCTGATGCCTGATGGGCAAAAGAAAAACATGAGCCCAATACGGTACCTCATAGGGCAATCATTGTACTTAGGGTCACTCTCCCATCTATTATCTTCATTGTATCGATTCAGTCTGGTCGATCAGGAGAGCAAGTGCGAGAGAGATTGAAATAGCTATGCCCAACCTATCCATACGTGCTTGTTGAATCAATTGTATTCCGATAGCGCGGCAACTCGTGTTGTTTATTCCTTTCCTAATCCAACATCCAGTAGGTCGCTGAATATGGGCATGCCCGAACGCAAAAAAGGCTATCCGAGATACTCTTTGGTTCCCTCTCAAGCAAGGCTAGAGTCAAAGGAGGAACTCTCGACTCAAATAGGTGTGATATCGAAGTGGACTCAATTGTCTAATATCTTCTCTTAAGCTATTATTTCGTCGAGTACTCAAAACAAGATGAACAAGCGAGAGGAAAGAACCTCACATAAGCAAGCAGTCCGGTCTACTCGCTTTTGGCTCGCTTGCAAGAGCTGATTCTCTATAGGCCTGTGCTTATATCACTACCACGAATCCCCTTCTACATGACCTACTTGAGTGATACCGTACTCACCAACCGAACTAGAATGAGCATACGAAAAGAAAGAAAAGGGGGAGAACGAATAAGGGCAAGAGGGAAGAGTTTTCACTCGTGCTACTTAATTGGCAGCAGAGGAAGAGTCTGTTAAGAATTCTAGATCTCGGGGTCGAGTCGAGGAAGTAAGAATAGTCGAAGTCAAAGTGGAAAGAGAACCTAATTTAAGTATTAGGCACATGCACTTGCTCTGGCTTCTTAAGAAAGATTGAGACGACAAGCGGCACATTTGAGCGGGTAGAAGATAAAATAGGAACTTCTTACCAGGGGGAAGATCTGTTGACTTATCGACCAGGCCTCCATGAGGCTACAGTAAGACCGGACTGAGATGATGAAGCCATTTACCCCCTAGCTACCTGAATAACAGATAATCAGACTATCGGGAGGATAGATTGGGGCTAACAAAAAGGCTATCGCTCATTTATAGCATACCAGCCTCTTCACTTCGCTTCTCGCTCTCCTATAACTCTAATCAAGATGCTTTCCACAAGGGTATGAAAGATTTGGATAAAGTATCACTCTCGATGGCAAGGCTGGGGAAGATCGATCTAAGGGGTGAACCTATTTCTGGATTCCTTCTAGTGCTTAAGGTGCGTAGCGCTTTTAACGCTTTCTTAATTGCGCAAGAATGAATATATTAGTAAGCCATGGAACTGATTGATCAAAAATAAGAATATACTTCAACCGGCCATACATAACATAGAAATAACACTTGGAAAGGGTGGACAATTAGCTAGAGTAGCAGGTGCTGTAGCGAAACTTATTGCAAAAGAGGGGCTACATTAAAATTACCTTCTAGAGAGGTCTGTTTGATATCCAAAAACAGCTCAGCAATAGTCAAATAAGTAGGGAATGTTGGATTAAACCAGAAAAGTTTGGGCAGAGCCGGAGCGGCTAGGTAAGAGTCTTGTAGTAAGAGGAGTAGTTATGAACCCCATCCACATGGTGTGGTGATGGGTTGAAAGAAAGGCTTTTTATCTACCAATTGGGGCTAACCGAAGTCTTGGATTTATCGGTAATGGTATCCCAGTTATCTTCAATTACTTAGTGAGAGCTTATCGAATTGATGTAAGGAAGGGATACCATGTAGGAGGCCTGATCATACACCTTAACTCACTAGAGCAAGCGCCTTGAAACGTCGGTGACCACCCTGTCGGTAGAGTGGCTTTCTCCTAGAGTGTATAGCTCATTTGAAGTTCGACCTCATGAAACATAGAGCTGTCAAAGTCCTCTCCTTCTAGTCGTTCTTACAGTCAAGTGACTGGTCGAGCTGAGGGTCAATTTGCTAGTTTCTTAGAAGGCTTGACTTTTGTAGTCTAATTCCGGGGATTCTTTCAACTCATGTTTGTTGGAAAAGATGGAGGGGTTATGTTACGGAATGGCTGCAACCTTTCATTTATTATTCTTTTCCTTGGCCGTTAGGATTGAGACTACGATCTCCGGTTAACCACGTTCCAGCTAAAAGCTAGTCGAACTAGAGCCTGCCTTACGAGGGAGAATTCCAACTGTTAACCAAAGCGCTGATCTCTTCTTTCCTAGTGAGTCATATTCCACTTTGTCTGCTATTCAAGTCTTCCCCTTTCTTGTCGGCATAAGGACTGTCGCTCTTAAACTCCTGGCTCTGACAATCTAAAAAGAGAGAGTAGCCACCCTTCCTCCAAGACTTTAATCGGGAATTTATTGCCTGCTGGTTTGATTAGGCCTTTGTGCCTGGTATGAACTAATAAATCCTTTCATCCTAATTCGCCTTTCCCTCATCCCTCGTAGAAGACAAATGTGAGGTAGGCCTAAAAGACCTACTTTCCTCCTTCCAATCCGGGAGTGAATCTGTCTAGTTATATTTTGACTAATCTGAATCTGTGTACTGAGTAAAAGCGGAATATCCTCTCTCAATTCTTGGCAGAGGAAAGCCCCGTGACCGACCAACCGAGGCAGGGGTAGATAGAGGAAGAGAAGATTTATTGAATGCTCTCGGGCATTGATTGAGGTAGTCAAAAATTATGCTTCACTCAGATCTTATTTATTGTGTCGTGCTGCCTCCTTAACAACCTCTCCTTCCTCAACTGTTTGGTACACTCCCCTGGCTACTTGTACTGATAACGCTGGGACTAATTGAACTCAGGCTGATTTCTCCTCTTCTGACTGCCCTTCTTCAGGCACAACCATACCTTCTGGCAATGAAATTGGATTTATCCCCGCTCGATTTCTTTCTTGTAGTCATCGCCGAACCTGAGCTCTTCCCCCTAAATCCTTTCTATTGCGGCTTTCGAGCTACTCGCTACTATAGTGACAAAAGTCCAGTTGACGTAGCGTAGGCGGAAGAAGATCGGACTAAGTTCCTTTCCCCATCTTGGGTGGATTAGAAGCATTAAAAGATCTTCCCCATCCCTATTGGAATGAATGCTTGAATAGTCCTTTCCCCTTTGGCCAAGCTAGTAAAGTACCTCATTCTATCATTTCTTACTTGACTTTTTTGACTGTAGCGGTTACGGCTAGACTACTTTGCTCAGCCACTCCTTGCTTCATTTTTGAATGGAAAAGAAAGGCTATTTTCAATTACGGACTTAGGGACCCGTGTCAAAAAGATGTCTTTCGCCCTGAGATAGATTTCTTTCTCAGATCCTCTATATATTATACATTGGTTCAAGAAGGTCCTTCCAAACTGGATCATCCCACTCACTGTCTGTGGGGTAGGAGGTTGTCACTGACAGAGCGCAATTACATCATAACTGAAAGAGAAGGACTCACATGGTACATTTTGTACAGAAGTTTCGACATTAGCTATTAGATTAGGCACAAAATGGTTTATGTGGACCACTAGGCCTTGACAAAAAAAGCATAGGTACTTATTGGCTGAGCATGCGAGACGATGTTTAGGAAGATAGGATTCCTGAGAACAAGAGCCATTCGTGGTCACATGAAAGCGGCAATAGAGAATCCTCCTACTACTAGGCTAAAGGCAAAGATCACAGCAGTACTTGCTAAAGTCCCCTATCCTGAACGTGTGTTATGTAGAAAGTAGTTAGCTGCTCCTCCTCGCCTAGGAGGGCCGATTGATTGACCGAGATGGGAATCAATGCCTAGTTCCGGATTCAGACATGAATTATAACTATACAGATTGTATAAGTTAAGGTTCAAGTTAAGGGATTGGATAATGGATCTAGCTTGTGCATCTTTTCGTTCATAGTGGGATATAGCCCGTCCCCTTTCTTTGGTCTATGACCTTTTGCTTCTGTTAATGAGATCATTGGCTAATCTATTATATAAGATTTCATTCAACGAGTCCCTCTAAACTTTTCTTTGACAGCTGCTCTCGCTTCGTGGCTTGCAGGGCCTGAATCAAATGCTCGAATGTACTTGCTTTTCTTTGTTGAACCTTCTACGGTCTACCCTCTTTCTCGATATCCCAATTCTAGCGTTCGTTAGCAGAAGTAGAGATAGGGGGAATTTATCTTTTTCTGTGAAAATGACAGAAGCCACTATAAAGGGAAGAAGCTAATCCAGCCCCTTGACCCGCGAAGCGCTACGCTCCTGCTTACGAAAAACGACTTTCCAAGCGAACTACTGAAGACAGACTACTCTACTGGGAGTGGGAATAAAGCTCTAGTCCTTAGCCCTGAACTCCTTCAATATTGCACCTACTACCAAAGAAGTTGAGCCTACTTTACGCACTTCCACACAAAGCATGCAAGGAATCAGTCCCAAAAACGTCTACGTTAACAAAGGATACTGTAACAAGAAAAGTGCTTGCTCCACCAGCCAGCAGCTCCTTCTTTCATAACCGAGTCTGGCTATCTTCCTGAGACTGGTATCCTTACTGAGGGTATTACCCCAGCATCGGCAACTCTCACTGCCGTTGTGAAATCTCGACGCGCTACCGCCGCTTTATTTAAGAAAAAACTAAACTAGAGCTGGAAAGCAGAGGAAAACTGATCGTTGCTGAGCTTGCCGTTAAAGAGTCAGATGCTGATTATATAGCTGCTCCGATTCCTTCACCGACCGAGAACGAGAAGGAAGTTTTTTATTACGAACAAGCGCTAAAGAAGGGGGGTGGGATCTCTCCTAAAAGAAAGAATTGACCTCGAGCCTGTCCTACTTATTCTTATTTTCCCGTTCCTGACCCTCGGATCAGTTGGCAAATCGAATCCCTCGGGTACTTTACTAAAAAAAGGATCCTACTTTATAAGGCTTCTCGAACCAGACCAGAATCTTTGAAGCTCTATGGGAAGACTGACTCTAGGTACACAGAAAGACCAAGGTAAGCCAATCTCACGTCGAAACAGGGAAATTTTGGCCCTTGAAAGCAGCCCACTTCGGAGTCTCTCACAGGAGAAGGACTGACCTTTTCTCTCATTCCTATCGAGAAGACTAAGTCAGGGTGAGCTCTTACTTAGAGAGATTTAGTTGGGTAGGGTCACTCTAAGATCAAGAAATCCTGAGTCACGAGAGAGATTCTCCACACGAACGACCCGTCAGGTTATAACTTACATTGGTGAATCGGACCAACACCTATCTTACACCAACAAGGAGAAGGAGTCGCTTTTGTTACGCAGTTTGAAAGCTTAAGCCTTCCTACATATGCGGGCCCACCGGTTTAGTTTAAAGAGTCCTCTATCCGGACTCCCCCTAGACCTCTGTCTGGCCTAGGGAACTTCTCTAAGCTCGAGAGCTCCTGTCTCCTCACAGCGTAAGCGGCTCACCTCTCCCCGGAAACAAACCAAAGCAAGCAAACTAACGACGAGAAAGTCTCATGGTACGTCTTCTAGTCCCTTTGATTCCCAATCGTGCACGGCGATAATAAAACAAAATCGTAGGCCGCCTTTTTCCCCGAATTTTCATTTACCAAGGAATCACGGTTTGTGGAAAGCTCCTCCAAAACCTTCGCTATTTTAAGGCGTTTTTCCGGGGAATCCGCCACTTCCCCTTACTTATGCCTTTTGCTGCTCCACAATGCTCTCTCCAAAATGAAAGTTAAAGAAGCCCGCGTACCCACTCTTCTTTCCCCCCCATTGATGGGGGCCTCGTCCTTAGGGATTACACCTTTCAAAAGGATAAACTTAGAAAACAAATAGAATCAAAAAGGCCATCATTAATGCGAACAAGGCAATATCCTCGGTTAGAGAAAAGCCCAGGATTACATATCCGAATAACTGTTTTGCCAATGATGGATTTCTTGCCACGTAATGAATTAATGAACTGAATACGTTTCCAATACCTACAGCAGCTCCCGCTGAAGCAATTGTAGCAGCTCCGGCACCTATTGATTTTGCACCTTCTAACATCTCGAATGGAGAAAAACTCATCACGCTCTTTCATTCACGATTTTTTATTCTCGTCGCTTCAAAACCTCGTTCCTTTTCTCTTGGACATCTCACTTGAAATGCAATAAATGCATTCATTCTTTTTAGTAAAAGAAAGCCTCTCACCGATATCCTATTTGTAGATATGGGTCCGTAATTCTATTATTATATTATAATAGGGTGGTAATAGTTCCTATATTTTCCTATCGAACAACAAGTCTTAATGTATCGTTGACTTGATACTACCAGCTTAGATACATGTACCGGATGAGGCGGAAACCCATACTAAAAATCATAAAGGAAGACCCATGCATCAATCAAGATCTCTATCTATAATATAACATACCTCAGGTTGGATTCAACCACTTAGGATGATGATCTGCAAAACCAAACCCCATGACATTATGCTCTGCCAGTCTTCCCCTCTTCTAGCTATTCGCATGCGTCGATCAATCATATTCGGCAAAATTACCTGATAAAGTATGCACCAAGGATCCATTACATTAAACTAAGTGCATGATAGACCGATTCTTATATCCTTTGAATGTGACCACTGGTTAGATTATGATTATGTAAATGGATCCCCATTAAGTCGGGTCTGTGGACAATGTTTTAATGGATCACCCCTGATGCCTGATGGGCAAAAGAAAAACATGAGCCCAATACGGTACCTCATAGGGCAATCATTGTACTTAGGGTCACTCTCCCATCTGTTATCTTCATTGTATCGATTCAGTCTGGTCGATCAGGAGAGCAAGTGCGAGAGAGATTGAAATAGCTATGCCCAACCTATCCATACGTGCTTGTTGAATCAATTGTATTCCGATAGCGCGACAACTCGTGTTGTTTATTCCTTTCCTAATCCAGCATCCAGTAGGTCGCTGAATATGGGCATGCCCGAACGCAAAAAAGGCTATCCGAGATACTCTTTGGTTCCCTCTCAAGCAAGGCTAGAGTCAAAGGAGGAACTCTCGACTCAAATAGGTGTGATATCGAAGTGGACTCAATTGTCTAATATCTTCTCTTATGCTATTATTTCGTCGAGTACTCAAAACAAGATGAACAAGCGAGAGGAAAGAACCTCACATAAGCAAGCAGTCCGGTCTACTCGCTTTTGGCTCGCTTGCAAGAGCTGATTCTCTATAGGCCTGTGCTTATATCACTACCACGAATCCCCTTCTACATGACCTACTTGAGTGATATCGTACTCACCAACCGAACTAGAATGAGCATACGAAAAGAAAGAAAAGGGGGTGAACGAATAAGGGCAAGAGGGAAGAGTTTTCACTCGTGCTACTTAATTGGCAGCAGAGGAAGAGTCTGTTAAGAATTCTAGATCTCGGGGTCGAGTCGAGGAAGTAAGAATAGTCGAAGTCAAAGTGGAAAGAGAACCTAATTTGAGTATTAGGCACATGCACTTGCTCTGGCTTCTTAAGAAAGATTGAGACGACAAGCGGCACGTTTGAGCGGGTAGAAGATAAAATAGGAACTTCTTACCAGGGGGAAGATCTGTTGACTTATCGACCAGGCCTCCATGAGGCTACAGTAAGACCGGACTGAGATGATGAAGCCATTTACCCCCTAGCTACCTGAATAACAGATAATCAGACTATCGGGAGGATGGATTGGGGCTAACAAAAAGGCTATCGCTCATTTATAGCATACCAGCCTCTTCACTTCGCTTCTCGCTCTCCTATAACTCTAATCAAGATGCTTTCCACAAGGGTATGAAAGATTTGGATAAAGTATCAATCTCGATGGCAAGGCTGGGGAAGATCGATCTAAGGGGTGAACCTATTTCTGGATTCCTTCTAGTGCTTAAGGTGCGTAGCGCTTTTAACGATTTCTTAATTGCGCAAGTATGAATATATTAGTAAGCCATGGAACTGATTGATCAAAAATAAGAATATACTTCAACCGGCCATACATAACATAGAAATAACACTTGGAAAGGGTGGACAATTAGCTAGATTAGCAGGTGCTGTAGCGAAACTTATTGCAAAAGAGGGGCTACATTAAAATTACCTTCTAGAGAGGTCTGTTTGATATCCAAAAACAGCTCAGCAACAGTCAAATAAGTAGGGAATGTTGGATTAAACCAGAAAAGTTTGGGCAGAGCCGGAGCGGCTAGGTAAGCGTCTTGTAGTAAGAGGAGTAGTTATGAACCCCATCCACATGGTGTGGTGATGGGTAGAAAGAAAGGCTTTTTATCTACCAATTGGGGCTAACCGAAGTCTTGGATTTATCGGTAGTGGTATCCCAGTTATCTTCAATTACTTAGTGAGAGCTTATCGAATTGATGTAAGGAAGGGATACCATGTAGGAGGCCTGATCATACACCTTAACTCACTAGAGCAAGCGCCTTGAAATGTCGGTGACCACCCTGTCGGTAGAGTGGCTTTCTCCTAGAGTGTATAGCTCATTCGAAGTTCGACCTCATGAAACATAGAGCTGTCAAAGTCCTCTCCTTCTAGTCGTTCTTACAGTCAAGTGACTGGTCGAGCTGAGGGTCAATTTGCTAGTTTCTTAGAAGGCTTGACTTCTGTAGTCTAATTCCGGGGATTCTTTCAACTCATGTTTGTTGGAAAAGATGGGGGGGTTATGTTACGGAATGGCTGCAACCTTTCATTTATTATTCTTTTCCTTGGATGTTAGGATTGAGACTACGATCTCCGGTTAACCACGTTCCAGCTAAAAGCTAGTCGAACTAGAGCCTGCCTTACGAGGGAGAATTCCAACTGTTAACCAAAGCGCTGATCTCTTCTTTCCTAGTGAGTCATATTCCACTTTGTCTGCTATTCAAGTCTTCCCCTTTCTTGTCGACATAAGGACTGTCGCTCTTAAACTCCTGGCTCTGACAATCTCAAAAGAGAGAGTAGCCACCCTTCCTCCAAGACTTTAATCGGGAATTTATCGCCTGCTGGTTTGATTAGGCCTTTGTGCCTGGTATGAACTAATAAATCCTTTCATCCTAATTCGCCTTTCCCTCGTCCCTCGTAGAAGACAAATGTGAGGTAGGCCTAAAAGACCTACTTTCCTCCTTCCAATCCGGGAGTGAATCTGTCTAGTTATATTTTGACTAATATGAATCTGTGTACTGAGTAAAAGCGGAATATCCTCTCTCAATTCTTGGCAGAGGAAAGCCCCGTGACCGACCAACCGAGGCAGGGGTAGATAGAGGAAGAGAAGATTTATTGAATGCTCTCGGGCATTGATTGAGGTAGTAAAAAATTATGCTTCACTCAGATCTTATTTATTGTGTCGTGCTGCCTCCTTAACAACCTCTCCTTCCTCAACTGTTTGGTACACTCCCCTGGCTACTTGTACTGATAACGCTGGGACTAATTGAACTCAGGCTGATTTCTCCTCTTCTGACTGCCCTTCTTCAAGCACAACCATACCTTCTGGCAATGAAATTGGATTTATCCCCGCTCGATTTCTTTCTTGTAGTCATCGTCGGACCTGGGCTCTTCCCCCTAAATCCTTTCTATTGCGGCTTTCGAGTTACTCGCTACTATAGTGACAAAAGTCCAGTTGACGTAGCGTAGGCGGAAGAAGATCGGACTAAGTTCCTTTCCCCATTCTTGGGTGGATTAGTACCTCATTCTATCATTTCTTACTTGACTTTTTTTACTGTAGCGGTTACGGCTAGACTACTTTGCTCAGCCACTCCTTGCTTCATTTTTGAATGGAAAAGAAAGGCTATTTTCAGTTACGGACTTAGGGACCCGGGTCAAAAAGATGTCTTTCGCCCTGAGATAGATTTCTTTCTCGGATCCGCTATATATTATACATTGGTTCAAGAAGGGCCTTCCAAACTGGATCATCCCACTCACTGTCTGTGGGGTAGGAGGTTGTCACCGACAGAGCACAATTACACCATAACTGAAAGAGAAGGACTCACATGGTACATTCTATACAGAAGTTTCGACATTAGCTATTAGATTAGGCACAAAATGGTTTATGTGGACCACTAGGCCTTGACAAAAAAAAAGCAGAGGTACTTATTGGCCGAGCATGCGAGACGATGTTTAGGAAGATAGGATTCTTGAGAACAAGAGCCATTCGTGGTCACATGAAAGCGACAATGGAGAATCCTCCTACTGCTAGGCTAAAGGCAAAGATCACAGCAATACTTGCTAAAGTCCCCTATCCTGAACGTGTGCTATGTAGAAAGTAGTTAGCTGCTCCTCTTCGCCTAGGAGGGCCGATTGATTGACCGAGATAGGAATCAATGCCTAGTTCCGGATTCGGACATAAATTATAATTATACAGATTGTATAAGTTAAGGTTCAAGTCAAGGGATTGGATAATGGATCTAGCTTGTGCATCTTTTCGTTCATAGTGGGATATAGCCTGTCCCCTTTCTTTGGTTTATGACCTTTTGCTTCTGTTAATGAGATCATTGGCTAATCTATTATATGAGATTTCATTCAACGAGTCCCTCTAAACTTTTCTTTGGCAGCTGCTCTCGCTTCGTGGCTTGCAGGGCCTGAATCGAATGCTCGAATGTACTTGCTTTTCTTTGTTGAACCTTCTACGGTCTACCCTCTTTCTCGATATCCCAATTCTAGTGTTCGTTAGCAGAAGTAGAGATAGGGGGAATTTATCTTTTTCTGTGAAAATGACAGAAGCCACTATAAAGGGAAGAAGCTAATCCAGCCCCTTTACCCGCGAAGCGCTACGCTCCTGCTTACAAAAAACGACTTTCCAAGCGAACTACTGAAGATAGACTACTCTATTGGGAGTGGGAATAAAGCTCCAGTCCTTAGCCTTGAACTCCTTCAATATCGCACCTACTACCAAAGAAGCTGAGCCTACTTTACGCACTTCCACACAAAGCAGGCAAGGAATCAGTCCCAACAACGTCTACGTTAACAAAGGATACTGTAACAAGAAAAGTGCTTACTCCACCAGCCAGTAGCTCCTTCTTTCACAACCGAGTCTGGCTATCTTCCTGAGACTGGTATCCTTACTGAGGGTATTACCCCAGCAGCGGCAACTCTCACTGCGGTTATGAAATCTCAACGCGCTACCACCACTTTATTTAAGAAAAAACTAAACTAGAGCTGGAAAGCAGAGGAAAACTGATCATTGCTGAGCTTGTCGTTAAAGAGTCAGATGCTGATTATATAGCTGCTCTGATTCCTTCACCGACCGAGAACGAGAAGGAAGTATTTTATTACGAACAAGCGCTAAAGAAGGGGGGTGGGATCTCTCCTAAAAGAAAGAATTGACCTCGAGCCTGTCCTACTTATTTTTATTTTCCCGTTCCTGACCCTCGGATCAGTTGGCAAATCGAATCCCACGGGTACTTTACTAAAAAAAGGATCCTACTTTATAAGGCTTCTCGAACCAGACCAGAATCTTTGAAGCTTTATGGGAAGACTGACTCTAGGTACACAGAAAGACCAAGCTAAGCCAATCTCACGTCGAAACAGGGAAATTTTAGCCCGTGAAAGCAGCCCACTTCGGAGTCTGTCACAGGAGAAGGACTGACCTTTTCTCTCATTCCTATCGAGAAGACTAAGTCAAGGCGAGCTCTTACTTAGAGAGAATTAGTTGGGTAGGGTCACTCTAAGATCAAGAAATCCTGAGTCACGAGAGAGATTCTCCACACGAACGACCCGTCAGGTTATAACTTACATTGGTGAATCGGACCAACACCTATCTTACACCAACAAGGAGAAGGAGTCGCTTTTGTTACGCAGTTCGAAAGCTTAAGCCTTCCTACATATGCGGGCCCACCGGTTTAGTTTAAAGAGTCCTCTATCCGGACTCCCCCTAGACCTCTGTCTGGCCTAGGGAACTTCTCTAAGCTCGAGAGCTCCTGTCTCCTTACAGCGTAAGCGGCTCACCTCTCCCCGGAAACAAACCAAAGCAAGCAAACTAACGACGAGAAAGTCTCATGGTACGTCTGCTAGTCCCTTTGATTCCCAATCGTGCACGACGATAATAAAACAAAATCGTAGGCCGCCTTTTGCCCCAAATTTTCATTTACCAAGGAATCACGATTTGTGGAAAGCTCCTCCAAAACCTTCGCTATTTTAAGGCGTTTTTCCGGGGAATCCGCCGCTTCCCCTTATTTATGCCTTTTGTTGCTCCACAATGCTCTCTCCAAAATGAAAGTTAAAGAAGCCCGCGTACCCACTCTTCTTTCCCCCCCATTGCTGGGGGCCTCGTCCTCATGGATTACACCTTTCAAAAGGATAAACTTAGAAAACAAATAGAATCAAAAAGGCCATCATTAATGCGAACAAGGCAATAGCCTCGGTTAGAGCAAAGCCCAGGATTGCATATCCGAATAACTATTTTTCCAATGATGGATTTCTTGCCACATAATGAATTAATGAACTGAATACGTTTCCAATACCTAGAGTAGCTCCCGCTGAAGCAATTGTAGTAGCTCCGACACCTATTGATTTTGCACCTTCTAACATCTCGAATGGAGAAAAACTCGTCATGCTCTTGCATTCACGATTTTTTGTTCTCGTCGCTTCAAAACCTCGTTCCTTTTCTCTTGGACATCTAACTTGAAATGCAATAAATGCATTCATTCTTTTTAGTAAAAGAAAGTCTCTCACGGATATCCTATTTGTAGATATGGGTCCGTAATTCTATTATTATATTATAATAGGGTGGTAATAGTTCCTATATTTTCCTATCGAACAACAAGTCTTAATGTATCGTCGACTTGGTACTACCAGCTTAGATACATGTACCGGATGAGGCGGAAACCCATACTAAAAATCAGAAAGGAAGACCCATGTATCAATCAAGATCTCTATCTATAATATAACATACCTCAGGTTGGATTCAACCACTTAGGATGATGATCTGCAAAACCAAACCCCATGACTTTATGCTCTGCCAGTCTTCCCCTCTTCTAGCTATTCGCATGCGTCGATCAATCATATTCGGCAAAATTACCTGATAATGTATGCACCAAGGATCCATTAGATTAAACTAAGTGCATGATAGACCGATTCTTATATCCTTTGAATGTGACCACTGGTTAGATTATGATTATGTAAATGGATCCCCATTAAGTCGGGCCTGTGGACAATGTTTTAATGGATCACCCCTGATGCCTGATGGGCAAAAGAAAAACATGAGCCCAATACGGTACCTCATAGGGAAATCATTGTACTTAGGGTCACTCTCCCATCTGTTATCTTCATTGTATCGATTCAGTCTGGTCGATCAGGAGAGCGAGTGCGAGAGAGATTGAAATAGCTATGCCCAACCTATCCATACGTGCTTGTTGAATCAATTGTATTCCGATAGCGCGGCAACTCGTGTTGTTTATTCCTTTCTTAATCCAGCATCCAGTAGGTCGCTGAATATGGGCATGCCCGAACGCAAAAAAGGCTATCCGAGATACTCTTTGGTTCCCTCCCAAGCAAGGCTAGAATCAAAGGAGGAACTCCCGACTCAAATAGGTGTGATATCGAAGTGGACTCAATTGTCCAATATCTTCTCTCATGCTATTATTTCGTCAAGTACTCAAAACAAGATGAACAAGCGAGAGGAAAGAACCTCACATAAGCAAGCAGTTCGGTCTACTCGCTTTTGGCTTGGGCTTTGCGAATGGAATGCTAGAGGAATGGTTGACCTAACGCATGAACCAAGTAGTGTTAAAACAATAATAGTTGTATGGGCTCATCCCTAGTTCTTAAGGCGAAGTCTCACATGAAATAGAAAAGTCAACATGAGACTCGAAAGACGCTCGGCGATAAAGAAAATAAAATGACTCTTTCTTCGGTGGACATGGCGGAGGCTCATGCACTTACACTTAGGAAAGGTTCTGACCTGGCTTTTTATCTACAGCTATCTTCTGTTTGTATGTATGAAAACGGATTCATCTCAGGTCTTGAAAGCTTTTCATAGTCAAAAGTCGTCTACAGATCGCAGTCTGAGGCCTATTGTTAGTGATGTGCAGCAACTCCTGATGTCCCACCACAGCTGGTCGGTATAAAGGGTGAACAGATTAGCCAATGCTTCGGTCGATTGGGTGGCAAAGCATCTTCCTGACTGAAAGTGTCGACCTTACTGGGTGCAGAGTCCTCCACCAGTTAAGCTATTCTTGCTATTTTAAGAGAAGATCATCATTGTCTGACTTAGGCCTTGATGTCTTTTTATTTCAACTTTCAATGCCCAGAATAGGAATGAACTGAGATGATTCGATAGTGGGAACTCATGAGCGCTCATCCATTCTTTGCCGGGAACCAGAGCAGGCATAAATTACCTTGATCGAAAGTGAGCCCTTCATGAAGCATCGAAAGTCAAAGGATGCGAAGAGAGCGCCACTACTATCTTTCCGAGAAAGATAACTCCTAGGTTAGGCCGACAAGACATCAAGAGGGAGAGAAAGAAAATGAGCCAAGCCTAAAGCCCGTAGGGTGTAAATTGATAAGACCAATAGGGAATCAAAAGGCAAGATTGAGAGATAGAAGGCCAGGCTTGTCGCCAAGGGTTCACTCTGAAAGAGGACATCGACTACACTGAGACCTTATCCCCGCTTTCTATGCCTTCCCGGCCTGCTGTCGTCAATGGTCCGCTTCCTTGAATGAGAGTTGGTCTTCCCGATCCACGAATACTGTCTGCTGTCCTTTACTTGTTTAGTGGCATCTGTCTTAGGGCATATGGAAGTCGTTTCTCTCTAGTACTGAGGATAGAAGAGGAAGGGGAATCCATCAAGGACTGATTTATCTTTGATTGATTGAAGGTCCTCGCCTAGCCTCTTAATAAGTTAAGGTCCCATTTCCTTTTATTGATTTAATCCCTTCTTATTAAGATTGGTTAATCGTCTTTGCAGTGAGTGTTCGGGCAAGACTTTTTTGCTTGAGCCATTCTGTAATCATTCCATACCTTCTACATTCTTAGTCTTCGCTATATGACAACAAGGGGATTGGACTACTTATATATAAGACTGGAAGGCTGCAACTAGAGGCAATTGGACAAAAGTTGGTAAATAAATTCCATGCCTTAAGCATAGTAAAGTCACACATCCACTAAATGCAATAAAAATAAGGACGAAAAAGCAAATTTCTTACTCCCTTGCAGGCAAAAGAAAGAACGCATACCAATGCCTTCTCTCGGCCTAAGGATAAGGAGTTTTTTCTAGGATGCTAAAGAAAAGAGATGGCTAAGGGGCGTAGCGGGTAGTCAAGCAGGAAAGTCATCAGTGACGGCGTATTCTCTACCCGATAAGAGCTATGTTGATGCCCCCTACCAAGGAAGGGGTAACTTCCCAGTTCATAAGCCCTTCCCTTCCATTATTTAATCCATCCATGACATTGTGTATATAACAAAACCCACTTGACCTTCCCGCTTGCCTGTAGAATCAGAAAAGCAAGCTCAAATCCCTATCGAATCTTTCCTTTGGTTGCCTGTCGACCTATTGCATTAAAGACCGGCAATCGAATCTTTGCTTGTCTTGACGATCCCTTTTGAATCAGCTGAAAGCCCGACCCCTTCCCAATGCTTTCAAAGCGGAAGGCATAATCTCGGATAGTTGGTTCATGCATTAGGTCAACCATTCCTCTAGCATTCCGAAGTGAGAAGCCAAGTGAACGAGCCCTGTTTTTCGAGAATGCAAGTTCCATTCGCAAAGCCCAAGCCAAAAGCGAGTAGACCGAACTGCTTGCTTATGTGAGGTTCTTTCCTCTCGCTTGTTCATCTTGTTTTGAGTACTCAACAAAATAATAGCATCAGAGAAGACATTGGACAATTGAGTCCACTTCGATATCATACCTATTTGAGTCGGGAGTTCCTCCTTTGATTCTAGCCTTGCTTGGGAGGGAACCAAAGAGTATCTCGGATAGCCTTTTTTGCGTTCGGGCATGCCCATATTTAGCGACCTACTAGATGCTGGATTAAGAAAGGAATAAACAACACGAGTTGCCGCGCTATCGGAATACAATTGATTCAACAAGCACGTATGGATAGGTTGGGCATAGATATTTCAATCTCTCTCGCACTCGCTCTCCTGATCGACCAGACTGAATCGATACAATAAAGATAACAGATGGGAGAGTGACCCTAAGTACAATGATTGCCCTATGAGGTATCGTATTGGGCTCATGTTTTTCTTTTGCCCATCAGGCATCAGGGGTGATCCATTAAAACATTGTCCACAAGCCTGACTTAATGGGGATCCATTTACATAATCATAATCTAACCAGTGGTCACATTCAAAGGATATAAGAATCGGTCTATCATGCACTTAGTTTAATCTAATGGATCCTTGGTGCATACTTTATCAGGTAATTTTGCCGAATATGATTGATCGACGCATGCGAATAGCTAGAAGAGGGGAAGACTGGCAGAGCATAAAGTCATGGCGTTTGGTTTTGCAGATCATCATCCTAAGTGGTTGAATCCAACCTGAGGTATGTTATATTATAGATAGAGATCTTGATTGATGCATGGGTCTTCCTTTCTGATTTTTAGTATGGGTTTCCGCCTCATCCGGTACATGTATCTAAGCTGGTAGTATCAAGTCGACGATACATTAAGACTTGTTGTTCGATAGGCAAATATAGGAACTATTACCACCCTATTATAATATAATAATAGAATTACGGACCCATATCTACAAATAGGATATCCGTGAGAGACTTTCTTTCTCAGGGCAAGCCAAAGGAAGGACGGGATAGAGCTCCAAGATAGGCTGAAGGCAGAGAAGGATAAACGAGACAAGGAATCAAAGGAGAAAATAAAGATCGGAATAGAATAGAGGTAACGGTTGAACGAACGGTAGACCCAACTCTGTATACTTAGCCGGAAGCAAGGCATTCCACTGTATCCACTTAGGGAGAAAGCCTTTCCCGTATCTATTTGAACCCGATCTTAAAATTTCTATCTGGTAGACTTGGTAAGGTAAAAGGGCCCTGACTTATTTTATTTCCAGAATTAGAGTTTGACCGCAGCTACCCCTTTTTTGTTTTGGGGGGATCAAGTTCCTTGCCAACTATCGACCCCGATCTCTTTTCATTTATTTGGGGTATTACTAGCCTAGCCTTCGTCAATCACACTAAAGCAGAGCACCCAACTACGGCAAGGCCCCCTTAATTAAGGGTTAGGTTAGTAAATTCGGCCCGAGACGCATTCGTTGACAAAACCGCCGTAGGAATGGAGACCTTTCAATAGAGCGGAGGCGAACTGATCAACGAGAAAGAGGCCCTACTCACTACAAACGAATACACCACAAGATCGAACTGCACTCATGCCTCTGTCGCATCAAGTTGATCGACCCCCTAAGTAGTTCTTCTATCAATCATGTACGTAGGTAGGGTCCCCCATTCTGATTGGTATATCATGAAAAATAAAAGCCATTTGCACCAGGCGCACTGCGCTTTCCCTTGCCTAGATGTTCGCCTTTCTAAGTCAAGTAATGGTGGCCCGTCGAAGACTGGAGCCTCATAACATGTTGACGAAGACCCCCGAACTGAGGGTTCGATCAGTAGAGGGGACGACTTAGCCTCCCCGGAAGAAGAATAGCCCCGCTCTCTAGCCGACTGATCCTGTTGGTCATATAACTGGGAGGGAACGTGTCATATTAGAGGTGAACGATCAGAGATGTCCGATAATTACCACGATGAGGTTGGTCCCTCTTTTATTTTTGTAGACTAAGCTATGAATATGAATGAATGCTGGGCTCTTTCTTTCACTGCTAACCCCAAGAAGTTTCTTAATGCTGATATTTTATGTTTCGTCGAGCCCCGAGCTTGTGGTCCTCCTTTGAGTGTGGGTTCCATTGGATGAATCTCTCAAGTCAAGGTTCACGTACATAGCAGCAGGAATGGTGCAGCGTCTATTTATCGTTCTCGCTCGGGAGCCAAAACGAACACACCTGCTACCTACTGTATTGGACCTTCGACCAGGCATTATACCCTTGTCGAATCGGAACCAACCACCACTGTATTGCACTCGAACAGTTGAGCGGCCTCCGGCCAGCAACTTCCGTACCGTACACAGATATAGATTCATTCTTCGTACCTGGTCCAACTTCACAACCCTTTGTGGGTTGGTCACAAGTCAGTCTTGTTGGGAAGACTCTATTGAACAAAGCAAAGAAAAGAGAGTGCTCGACCGGAACAACGACCAACAAAGACCGTAATTACATAGATAACAGCTCCTCCCTTTCTCCGGCTTTAAGGCAAACCGTATGGCGGCTGGAAAGAAAGACGACCTCACCTTCTCGTAGATGGTGTTAGTGAGAGCAACTTTAGTATCCCCCGTTGACCTTCTTTTGTAGATAGAATCTTCAATGAGTGTAAACAACTTACTAATAAAGGTGCGCTTGTTGAGTAAGGTCGTTTTATTGCAGGAGTGCTAACGCGCGCCCTTATTCTTCGCTTGCTCCGCAGTACGAGCCTCATACAGAGCCCCTTTAATATGATGAGGAGAAGGCCAGACCCAACCCCGCCCTCTTTTCTGCACCAATCTTTGTTTACGACTATATTTTTATATTTGGGGTGTATAGCTCAGTTGGTAGAGCATTGGGCTTTTAACCTAATGGTCGCAGGTTCAAGTCCTGCTATACCCAAACAAACCTACCTTACACTATACCTATGAATTAATAAGGATGCGTAGTAACGTTCAAAGATCACTCTTTGGCCTTTAGACTCACTTCTGCGACTTCGCCCTTTAAGTGAGTGAGAAGGGGGTGAGGTAAGGAGTAGTATAAGAGTGGCTCGGTCGCCTCTCCTTATTTGATTCATTCTATAGGGCGGGGCTGCAGACCAACAATCCAGCAAAAGGGCTTAAAAGCTCCTTTATAAAACCTTCCCCTTTTAATAATAATAAGGTAAGCATCAAAGCCCAGCAAACCCAACCTATACAAAGAGCTCTTTTCAGCCTCTACTCCCAACAAGTGAAAGTAGCTGGCACCCACCATACCTTGCTTGCTTCGGGGCCGATCTCTTGTATCGAAGCAAACATATATATAAATATATATATATATTAGTTCCACCACAAATCGATTTCTCCGCTTAGATTGGATTAATGAGAAAAAGTGTATTCAATTCAACCATTCGCATGGTCTCCCCTAAGACTGACCTCTTTTCCAAATGAATCGAACCTCGATACCACATTCATCAAAGAGATACGACCATCTCTCTAGGTTGCACACCCCTTTAGATTAGATCGTTCTATTCGTGCTTGAAAAACGACCCCGCTCCTCATCCTCAATCTGGCGGTCCCTCTCCTAGCGCTCAAGGAGTTGCTTCTTTTTCTTGTGCTCAACCTAAAAACCGAGGTTGGGAGAAGGCATTAGTCGTCTAAGTCGGGCTGCTCATCAGTGTGTATTGTGCTCCCTCTTTAACTTCCATCAGGCCTAGCACCGAAGTCGAGTGCTACCACTGAGCTTTGAATGGGTCTCCCCCTTTCGATGAGCAACAATCTGACATAAAACTACTACTTAACCTGATCGGCAACCCTTGGATTCCTAGTTAAAACTACACCTTCATCTCGATCAAAGGTGGGATCCCAGATCGCTTGAAGCTTCCTATTCGCCTTTCGGGGGGTCCCCGTTGATAGATAGGGGCAATCTCAAGTAGACAGGACAAAGACTACTCTACGTCTTCTTTTCGTCCTACTTCTAGATTGAACCACCTGAAAACATCACTTTGCTATGGTGACTCTCTGACTGGCTCTTGCTTTCTCACTCATTGATCAAGGGAAGATCATCCAGATTGGGGTCAGGCACTTGAAAGTTATCGCTTGATATAAAGAACAGTACATAGCCCTTTCGGTAGGGGGTCTGGGTCCGTCTCAGTGCAGTAGGGGAGTCTATTATGTTGTGAGAATCTTTAGAAATGCATTTGATCAAGAGGAAAAGATTGAACGACTGATCGACCAAGGTTCTAGGGAGAAAGCTACCTTTTTAACGTCCCTTCCAAAAAGTCGAATTTTCGGTCTACTCAGATAGGAAAAGCTCATGTGGAAGCTTCAGTCACAGGTCAGCAAGAGAGAGAAGGAAGCTTGGTTCGACCAGACAATGATCCTCATTCCCTCGGAAAACTCCCATGTTGATGGAGATCCATATGACCTATCCTATCAAGCGGTTTTAAACCCTTTGTAGGATCGGTGGTTTCGGTTATCGGACTATTTATTCGCTGCCACAACCCTTCGGGGGTTGGTCAGAAGTCAGTCTTGTTTGGTAAGACTCTATTGAACAAAGCAAAGAAAAGAGAGTGCTCGACCGGAACAACGGCCAACAAAGACCGTAATTACATAGATAACAGCTCCTCCTTTTCTCCGGCTTTAAGGCGAACCGTATGGCGGCTGGAAAGAAAGACGACCTCACCTTCTCGAACAGTTGAGCGGCCGCCGGCCAGCAATTTCCGTACCGTACACAAATATAGATTATGGGCTTTGGCTTTCCCTGCATAGACCTCAACGGCACCTTCGAAGAGAAGCTCTTCCCGATCTTGATCTTTCTACCGATCTTTATCCTTAAACTTATTCTTACAAAAACCTATCCATCTTCAATAACCCACCTACCACATAAGTACCAGATGGGAGGCAATCCCCCGCCAAAAGGAGAACACTCCTAATATGAACCAAAGCTAGAGAGGATTAAGTCGAGAATGGATAGAGGAGCATGATTGCAAAACCATTTAATCTTAAGGGCTCTAGAGAGCTCTAAGACCACAATTAGGGGATTGCTAACGCTCGGACATTACGGAGACTTTAAACAGGTCTGAAGCAGGAGTAAAGATTGGCAATGAGGACGAATTAGATAACTGCTCAACAAAGAAGAAAGCAAGACCAAGCCAAACTCTCTGGTAAGTAACCCCACTCTCGGATAAACGGCTTCTTTGCCTAAAAGAATACATCGGAGAAGAGCATGCTGATTGAAAGAATCACATGATTAGATCGGAAACCAGAATCAAAGAAAGACTACCTCGAACTCCCGCACTGGAAATCTACCGATTCACACTCCAACGTCTATTTTACTCCAAAATCGATCGATTCATAGCTTCACCAATCATACGCTTATTGAACTAGACCAATTTTAGCTTAGGCTTTGAACTAGACCGACCCATCCGCCGCTTCTCACTTCCATTCCTCTCCCTTACAATCGCTCACCTTCTTCTTTCTTTGCTTGCAGAGAGGAAAGGTTCTATTTGCTCGGTTGCATGTCATGACTTTATGAGCTTCTTTCCTTATATCCTTTACTTGCCGAGCTGACCCCCTTATATTGGAGCACGTACCTGCCTGTCTACTATTAGACAAGAGCTCACTTCAACGAAGACTATTTTCAAAAGAATCGCTTTAACCCTTCGCCGGTCTTGCTTGCTTTGAAGAGAACACCTACTGTTCGTTAACAGTTCCTTCTCCCCTCGTTTGAATAGGGATTCTGATATGAGAACCTCATTCTTCTCAATATCCCGCCCATGAAAACCTAGTTTGAAGAGAACACATGTTATTCTCACCCTAGACCAGTCATTAAGTCAACTAAATCTTTTCGTTCCATCGATGAGAGCGAAATGCCAGTACAGCGAAACTGATGTTAGACAGGTGTGTGTTTGCCCTCTATAACTTGAGATAAATGCCCTTATTTTGCATTGAAAAGAGATGAGATTTGTGCTTCAAAGAGAATGGGAATGAGACAGGACAGCGGGATTCTTCTCATCTTGAGTGCTCAAAGGTCTTACTTTTATTCTCTCCCCTAGGCGGATTTAGAGCCCCCTCCCTTACTGAATGAATCCCTCACAGGCTGAACCAGTACCAATATCGACCGACCTGTTGTCAATCTTAAGGCAGGCCTCCCTTACTTGAAATCTCTAAGTCTCAATCTATGGGAGATATTCATAATTATTAACTGATAAATCGAGACTATGTGACACATTTCTTCCACTAATGAGCTTTCTCAGTCTCGTGACGAGCTTTATCGCGCCTTGAGCATCTCCTCCTGTAAAGGGCTCTATCAAAAGCCCTGTATTTGAATTGGTTGGCTTTTTAGATTATCAAATGCCAGTGTAGTTCCTCCTTAGAGGCATTCTAACATGTAGCCCATTATCCGACCTTTCCTTTCACTCTGCCTCTTTTTTTGGGTTGGGACTTGCGATTGATTCGCCGAGCGGGAGTGACATGACTTTTGCTATCTATGATGGTTCGGGACTCATTGAAGCAAGCAGTAGTCATAGTGCTGGTGAGCTGGAGTCAAGTAATCCGAACGTTGCAGTCTTTTTGGGAAGCATAGTTTTGGTTATCTTACTGGCCGTAATGCTTGCTTCCAGGATTAAATAGTGATTGGGCCTATCCTATCTAATTAGTGAGTATTTGTAGAGCCTTTTGCCGCGCTTCTTGATGTTTATCTTTATCGATCGGGACGTCTTTTTATTTGGTTTTGAATCCGGAGAAAATTCAACACGTACATTAAGTGGATTGAGAGATGAGTCTAAGGTTCAAAGAAAGGCTTTAGCTACCCATTCTGGAACACGAACATGAAGCCTGATCCTAGTACTATACTAGTAGGTAGGGCTTATTATGGAATAGGAATAGAAAGCCCGGGAGGTCACCCTGTGTTTAATAGCATATCTAGTTTCCGCATGGTTTGCTCTTTCTTTGCCGCAGACCAATGTGAGAAGCCCTATTAAGTGACTAATTGTGTTGAGTCAGATACCTCTTTAGAACGAAGTTTACCTCTACCTACTATAGTACTCAAATGACTTCGTTCCTTGAAAGCGCTCTCTGCTTGATCTGGCACTACTACTAAAAATTCGGGTGACAGACGAAGGCGTTGGTCCATCGGTGCCTTAGGGGCAATCATCTGTACCAGTGTATAAAAATAAATTTGAAATTTTTACAGTAGCGAGGAGAGCTTATGGATAATCCATTAGGATTCCGGCGGCTTTTGCCACTTATGATTCGTGTTCACAAGAGCGAGACGGTTTAATGTCTTACAATGTTCAAGCAGCATTCTTGCCGGAATGATTTTTTAGGATGCCCGAACACCTACCGAACATCCCTGAAGGATGGAACAACATGATGAAGAAGGCGGCAAAATTGTAGAGGAAAATATGGGAAGAGAACAAGGAGATCTCTGAAAAGGGGAGGGAAGGAAGTAGTAGAAATGTTGAAGAGGAGACAACCCACTCTTGAACTTAAGACTATGCGCGTCGCGTGCTCGATCTAGCAATTGTTTTGATGAACTGTCATTCAAAAATAAAGAAGAGAAAGCAAGTACACGATAGCTATCGATAGCTCTTCCATCACCCTATAACGCACCCTCTCTGAAAGTAAGTCCTTTGCTAAATTGCTCAAGGGGCTTAGTCGTGCAATTCGTCGTGAAAAGAGGAAGTATCCCTTAGCTAGGGATCTACCATATCTAGTGACAATGGTTGCTGGTGAAATGCTACCTTACTTGTGTTTTATGTCTATCTTTCCTCCTTTTTCATGCTTTCTTGAATTTAAAAAGAACCTAACATCTTAAGATCGGACGACGGAGTTGAACTCTAGTTTGAGGATGGATTCTATCTGAATAGAAAGAGAGGACTTTTCTATCTAAACTTTAGGCCCTTAGGAAAATGGTAGGCTAATCCATTTAATGAAAGTTATGCCAATTTAAACTCGTACCAGAAGGCAGGAGCGGTAGTCAGCTGTCCTCGTTCTCCTCTTTCCTTCCGATGAAGGGATCTTGCTCACTTTTCTCTAAAGGGCTAGTCCTGGTTCTGTTAAGGGCCTAGTTCTGGACTTGCTCGACCAAGTGTTAAAGGTTGGAAGTAGATTCTAGTGTGAATGCTGGAGTTGGCGCTCAATGGAGCTCTTTCTCGCCCTATCTATAAGAGAGATAGGATCACCTAAGTCTCATTATGGATTGATGGATAAAGGAGCGTCTACCCTTCTTTCTATGCTCATTTGGTAGAAGAAGTCAGAATAGAAGAATTTAAGGGCTCGTTCTTCCTGGCTTCCAGGCTCCTGCCTTTCCACGAGCAAGTTGACTTAGTCTAGTCGACCAGCAGTAGAGGAAGGGAAGGCTTGACACTACGAATGGGGTAGTTTACTAAGTCAAGAAGTGACTAGCGCTGTTAGCAAATGAATCAGAAGCAGTTGCAATAGGACCAAGGGCGTGCTTTAACTCAAGGGTACACTTTTATCCTTCCAGGATTTGCAGGAGTTTCCTTTCGAAGGCCTTTTAAGAACCTACCCTTGATCAACTGGTGGATATGAATCACACAACTAAGCCTCTGTTCAATTGATATCAAAAGAAAGATGGATTCCGTTAAATAAATATATGCTAGAGATAACTTTTCCTCTCTTCACTCCTTGTTGGATACTATCAGTGGAAAGCAGTCCAACTCCTATAGAAATGACAACCAACCAAGATAGGGAGTCTGGAACCAGCAAGCACTTAGGAGAGGAAATTCGATTTTGAAGCCCTATCTTCTCTCTTTAACTAGAGAGGTAGGTAAACCTGAGTTTAGAGCCACCTCGATTCGGGATGTCGGAACACCAACCGAATCCTAAACTGACTTCGGAACAGGTTCGAGAGCTTCTCGATCGAAAGTTAGCTCCTTTCCCCTTGACTCCACGGCCAGCCGGCCAGGCCAGGAATGATGACCAATTGCTTGAACCTTGGATGAGGACATGGAGGAAGATGGGCCGACCAGAGCCGCAGGCAGATGAGAAATAATCAGACTAAAACTTTAAAAGATGCTGGGTGAAGGTGAATCACCTTCAAACTCAGGATTCACAATGACTTTGACTCAGACTTCCCTTCCTAAAAGACAAAGGAGTAGCGGGGTTCGCTAGCCGACCTTTCCTGAAAGTACTTTTCTCTGACGCTTAAGGGGTAAAGAATAGCTTCGCTGAAACTAATGCTTTTTTCCTTGCTGGCTTTCCACCATTCAAACTTGGTTACTTCCTACGCTATTCGCCGACATTTAACTATTCTCTCGACATTCTTCTTCATTCAGATACTATTAAAATATTTGAAGGAGCTGGTTGGTGATGCTCTTCCCATGGTTTACCACCGATGAGGAGTATTCTGCATACCATCGACCTAGTACCTGGTGCTAGTTTCCCAAACCTGCCTGCTTATCGAATGCTACCTGCCTTTTAATTTAAGCCCCTTGCGCTAACATCGTTCAGTTCCCGGGCCCCTATCATCTGGGGATTCTATTTTCATACGTAGTCTTTCAACACTTGATTCAATGGTGTCAAGCTCCTTCTGCTTTGATGCTTCGCTTAGCGCTACTACTCCTATGATATTTATTTATTAAGTGCATGGCCGCGGGCAGGAGGTAACAAGAAAAAGAAGGTCTTTTTTCACTAACTAAAATCCCTCTTTGGATGAATATTTCATGGGATTCTTCCAATACTTACTGAGAACTAGTACACCACCTTCTATTCTTAGCCGTAGAGAGCCCTCGTCACTAATTTATGGTGATTATGTATTGGCTTAGCCACACCGGTCAAGGGCCATTGGGAGACTACTAAGGAGAAAGTCTTCAGCAAAAGACTCACAAAGGGATACTGACAAGGCCAAAAACAAAATTCGGATTCGGGTGCTCTTGCCGAGGAAGAATGGAATGATTCTTGCCACTTTTTATTCCCTTATGCCGATGCTGACTCTGATCGCCTTGAATACTATCCTTTCCTTAGAATAGCATGAAAGATCAGATCCATGAAGACTATGGGTCAGGGGTCAGGATATTTAGTTAAACCCGCCCCAGTCTTTAACCTGGGAATAAAATATATAAAAAAGATCCTCCCGGAAAAGCTTGAACGTGTCGAGCAGAAGTCTTTCCAAAGCCAAGTATGGTTAAGCTTCTTGTCCCACCTCCTAATGGAAACTCGGTCTTTTTGTCCGACATGCCTAGAGAGCCTCTTACTACACTTCATGCCAGATCCTTTCTTGGGTTATCCTTTATCATTTTTATAAGCTAGTTCACCTTATTTTTTTGGAAGACTCGGCTTGTCCATTAGCCTGAGCAAAGGTGTTATGTGAATCATTTCAACAAAAACTAGATACATTAGCAAACTCTTTTACTTGATCACCTGTGAAGACTCTACCTTGATCGGCAACCAAGGAAAAGGAATATGAAGCTACTTAGCTACACGTCAAAGGTATTCTTCAATATCCTGATCTCGAAATTGCGTAAGATAAAGAAGCTCTTCGTCGAATTAAAACAAGGGACTTTGAAAAAGGTCTCATCAGGAAGGACGTCAGACAACATGATCCGAGGAAAAAAGGCTCTCATCAATATTGTGGGAACCCGAATTCAAAATAGAAAGCTCGGTGCAGCTACACACCTGCAAGCTTCGGTAGCTGAAGAAGAGCTGTTCTCACAGGGAAAAGAAAGATGATTTACCAAGGGTATCCCTAAGTAAAGATGCCGAAGTCCAAGGTGTCGAAATTACACGGGAAAGCCCACTATCTTGTTCTTACTAACCCAGCAGCCTAAAGGACCTTAGAGTTTGCAAGGTCACCAGCAGTGGTGTGAGGGAGCCACAAACAAATGCTGCCCTATTCTTTCACAAGAAAGACTTATATTGAAGATCCAGTCTCTTTTCGTTGTAGGAAACCGTCGAAATAGCAAAGACAGAGCTGACGGTTTTTCCTCAATCAGCAACTGCCTAAGAAAACGGCCCCCCATGTTTATTTTGCCTCATATGAAACACAAATTCCAACATTAAAACGCTTTACAAAGTTAGGCCCTAAATACGCGAAAGCAAGGCGGGGCTTTAACTACTTTTAATCCGCCTATCTTTATAAGTTCGAGCTTGAGTTTGACTCCTTTTATTCAATCTTAGTTACTCTTTATTTCTACCTTTTTAGGTATTTTCTATCTTATTTGTCAGTAATTCAAGGAATTGGATTTCTTTCATGCCTTACTTTCAAAGGTTGGGTTCTCTCTGGGCGGTCGAGCCCTATCCTTTGCTCTAAGAGGGTTGGGCTGCTCAGCAGGGCTTGCCTTGACTGTAGACTTGACTTTACGAGCGCTACTCACATACCAAAACCATATGATGCCTCTCGGCGAGGGGACATCAGGCTCTGAGTCTCCGGCATCTCAGTCGGACTCCCCATGCCTCCTCGGAAACGGATTCGGACGGATCTCCACCATAATCTGTCTCGTCCCCTGGGAGCGTCACCGCTGCGGAGGTAGAAAGTCACACGCGGGATGATCCTAACTCTAATTTGTTTTCGGAGGAACACTTAGACCGATTGCGACAGGATAACCAATGTCGTCTACAAGAGAATGCCAACCTCCTTAAACAAGCGGAGCCCGGGCTTCGACGGCAAGAGGTTTAATATCATAAAAGCACGCGACGCCCATAGAGATGGAGCAGCGCGCGTCCAAAAAGAAGAACTCTTACAGTCAACTGTAGAGTTCAATCAAAGCAACCTCCACCTATTTGAGTAGTAGCGGTGTGGCGCTGATGGGTGCTTCTGATCAATAGAACAGGAAGAGGAGGAAAAAAATGAACGACATTTGGGCTTGATCTTGTTGTACGTCGGAAGTCGGGGTCCGCCCGGTCCAGCCCCAACCTTACGTCTATCTCTATATACGAATATAGAAACGACCTTCCAAAGCCGGGAGTGAGGTGGAAGAAGACTTGGGAACGAGGGTTAGCTTCTCTCCCTCTCCTTATGGTCGAGTATTTCTCTAAACCTCTCGCTTACTTGTACTACCTCTCTTCGCATTCGACGATCATGAAAAGACAGTCTTTCTCCTTCGGACCGGCTGTTATGATCGCTGCCTTCGCTTTCGCTTTTTCTCCATAAAAGAGGAAGAAGTCTCATTGGTAAGGGGACTATGAACTAAACTATACGTGTAATCAAAGGCTGAGCCCTTGTCACTCTACTTTTGGAGACTGTGACCCTGCTGATGCTTCTTTTTTATCTTATTTTTGCTTGCGGACAACACCACGGATCCTTGGGTGGAATAGGCACCTTGACCATCCTTGACTTCTCTGGTAAGTTAGGCATCTTCTAATACATAGCCAAGTATGGATTTTGTGGGGGAAGAATAGGTAGGCAGAGATCCGTGAATGCGCAAACAAAAATAAAGCATTCACCGACTTACTTACGGAATCTAAAATCGATTTCTTTGTGTTAAGCATATAGCATTCGTTTGTTTAGAATGTGCTTTGAAAAGCTTATGAGATGGATGATTTCTGATTATTATTTCTTACTAAGAAAATCAGTCAAGTTCAAGTGTGTCATCTTTCTATACGAAAAATAGAAAGAGATAGAGAGAGCGAGAGAATGAAGTGAAGGAGCTGACCCTTTCTCTACTTTTGATTCACTTGCAGCATCTAGCCCTTGAAAGCAATTACCATGTCTTAGAAGAAAAGTCATAGGATTCACTGTCAATTCCTTTTGTGGACATCTGAGGAGAGGGGGAAGGCCTTCGCGCCAGCGGGTTAAGTAGATGCGGCACATTGCATATGTATTATTGATATCCCGAAAGCCAGTGCCAGCTGCTTCTACTGCTATTGGCTAAAGATCGACAATATATTCGCCGCAAACCAAGGGACAGCCCTCTTTGTCCACCTGTGAACCTTCTTCTACATGGATGTCAATTGCTTTAAAGGAAGAAAAGGAGGTAAGAAAAGCAAAAAGGCAAGGGCATGCGATGCCTACTATTTCTATATGTCATTTGCTTGCTTTAGGGCTAGGCTAAGCCTTTAGCTGCGGTTATGAAGAGATCTTATTCACTCACCAGAAAGACCTGTTATTGCAAGAACAAGATTATCTTACCTTAGCCAGCTTAGAAGTTAATTTCCTATTGAGGAAGTAGTGCCATTAGTTGGAAATTGCATTTCATCTGGACATGAAATCGAAAGTTATATTTCTCGATGCATACTCATATTATCGATATGCCACAAGCTCAAGTCCCACAGCAGATTCTAGCACAACCGAGTCTGATTAACTGACTTCACCACCACCACTTACGGCTATTTGAACAACGATTATTTCAGTTATTACCACATAAAATTAAATTGCAAAGAGAATAGTGGCAACAGATATGGCAACAACAGGATGATAAACCTTCTTCCCTTAACCAGGTCTCAGTTAAGTTCCTATAATTTCTGTGCAGGCGAAGGTTAAGTCTGGAAGCAGGAATGATTCTGAATCCATAAAGGTAGTGAGTTACCTACTAGTCGGAGGGCAGGAAAAGCTATTACACAAACAAGCCAGTTTTGCCAGGCTGAAGTAATGCTTATATAATCTGCTATTTCAACATCATCATATTTACCTCTAAAGAATGGAGCTTCCTAAGACTAGGTGAACAAGGTCTTTTTCTAAGAAGCATGTTTACAAAGCAGAAATGACACACACACCCACTAAAGTATTTACAGATAAGCTCGGCACCTTACGGCCATGTGCCTAGGATCCCCTGAGTGCTCTAAGGATTAAAGTCCAAATCCTATAGGAATTGAAATACCACACTCAGATCGGTGAATCTATCAGGTTTCTTTCTCCTCCTCCGGGATTCATTAATAGAACTTAAATGCAGGAATAAGCACATAGACCATAGGTATGGAAGAATTAAAATTCATTCATGTGCTTATATTTCTCATTTTTCCTAGGAGAACAGGCTGGGTTACCGTAAAGTATAAGACAACTAACTATGCTCTGGTTTTTTCCTTGCCAAGGCCTTTTGACACGGGATCAGCCAGATCTCATCTGGACTCCACATACTTACTGGAAATTTTGTCAAGATCCTTCTCACATACATCAGACACACTGGTATGGATTACCTATTAGTTGCCTAGCTGTACTATCTCAGCATGGCAGCCGTAAAAATTGTCTAGACCGGCAACAATTGCTCCATATCGGTACTTCTACCAAGATGTTCCTGAGTCGTTCTACTTCTCTTCAAGCAGAGGTATATGAAATAAACTTGTTTTCCATGAAGGAATGCGTTATGCCTGTGATTTCGATGAAATTGATCCTCTACCTAATATAATTGATAGTTTAAGTTTACTATTAGAAGTTTTCCAAAGTATAAAATTGAGGGCTTGGTCCCGAGCATCTACCATTATACCCACAATGATTGGACCACTTAATAGGACCCTTTTGGCTTGGCTATTTTGGGCCTTCTTCTATTCGTACCTGCTTCCGTTTCTGCCCCCGCCATTAAAGCTTTCTGGTCCAGGCCTCAGGCACAGACCTGAAACTTAACTGACACGCAAAACTAAATTAAGCACAAAAGTAACATCCATCCATATATATGGGAATAACCCCTGTTCGTAAACCCAGTTGTCTTAGGCTATATGAGTCTTCCTTAAACGAGTGAAACGCTCTAAAGAGTAGCCTATGGGAGATAGCTATATCTTTTCTATCTTCTTAATAACAAGCACAGAAGCAGGAAAGCTAGCCACCCCGATTCCTTCTTACTTCACTTTAGGCAGTGTCCATACGTTCCGGCGTGGTGCAAGAGAAAGAAAGTCTTATTAAAAAGTATTCCCTTTCATGAGAAAAGTTGTTGGTGGAATTATTCAAAGTCTTTCCGCTGTTTTAGGAGAGCACAAAAGCTGATTGATTAGGAAAGAGCTGCTAAGAGGGATGACTCGCCCTTAGCCCTTGTCTAAAACCTAGCAAATAGACCGTTGTAAACCAGGTGAACTAGAGCGAACAGGAGAAGCAAGCAAATAGCGGCCTCTCATCCAATCCACCTCTAGCAGTGAAAGTCAGGTATTCCGATCTTTGATCCACCGATTCAGGAGCGATTGAAGTGAATACAATATAAGAAAGCAAGGAAGGGTTCCCCCAGTAAAGGCCACAACTGAAACCTCCGTTGACATCAGGTCCTCCTAAAGATTTTCAAAAACTCCATATCATTTTCAGCGGCAACACATTGACTGTGGATCCGTTATCTACCAATATCTGTGATACGGGCTTCCCGTTCAAGTGAGCTTTGACGTACAGAGGCTTGATATCTTGGGTCATCTGGGGAGAGGCTTTGTCTAACACTACCTTTTCTGGCTCCCCGGGCTTTGACTGTATGGTCACCTGGCAGGTAACCTCTGGCTCTCCAGCAACTTTCAGAATCAGTACCTTCTGGGCTCGTTGAGCAAGAAGAGCCTTTAATCTATTCGAGATAAAGCCTTCCGGGTTTACTGTGACTTTCATCTCTTCATCCCTCTGGGTCCTCTTCTGATCTTTCTTCAATCATCTCCTCAGGGTCTTCCCTGCGGGGCTATACCGTTCGGGCCCACCTTTTATACCATTAATAAAATAGCGTATCTAACGAGTCTATCCGTCTAAGTCTCAGAGGAGTCGGGTACAAACCTATGTCCTTACCTTGCTGGCATTTCGTACCTGGGGCAAGCTCCATTTCAGCCAATTCCAGTCTTAGTTCTTCTCCGGAGGTTTAACATAGATTGATTACCTGGGGAACCTCTAGTCTCTAGCCCTGTACAAGTATAGGGTCTTTCAGGCTTGATGTACTCTATTTGCGTATTACCAGTTGCCTTCCCGGACTTCGGATTCGTTCAAAGATAAAGAGTGGTTCTTGCTATTTCTTTCTCCCTCTCGCCACGTGAAAGCTATAGAAGTACCATATTTTCCTTTCACAGTGCTAATGATAGGAAAGAAAAGTCTCATCTTCGTGTTCATGCCCCACGGTCTAATAGATGTCTCAAAGAGTGGACTAAAAGATCTGATATTCCCCTAATAGCTCCTTCTATCAAAGAGGGCATTCTTTTTCCTTCCCTTCGGGAGTCTGGTATGCCTTGGATCTTGATATCTGGTATTTGAGCCTTTTAAGGGGGGAAAGCGGAAGGAGTTGGCAACAGCAACGGACTTGATTGAATGTACCGTGTACCGACTGCTTCGCCTAACCCTTATGTACCAACATACGAGACCTCTATTCGACAAGGAGTATCGGGTTTTGCAAGTTCTGCGACTCCTACCGCCGCTGCCGTAGACCAAGGTTTGAACAAGTCCAGTGGTGAAGGATGCCCGCGAGGGTCTCGACCGTTCTCAAATTAACTTCTCAGAATGACCGCTTAAAAAAACGATTATATATAATATCAATCACATGTCTGAACCAGAGCTAGGGTTTCACCCAGGAGTGTTCACGAAAGACCAACACACTTCGGGTACGCTGTAACTTGCTCGGGACAATGGGAAATTAGTCTCATAGTTGCCTGTTCAGATTCCCGATTATGAGTAAGGCAAGCGGTAGGCAAAGAGGTCGAAAACGGGTCTGGCAGCTATGGGTTCCTCTTTTGTTTATGGGTGAATCTTCCATTCTTTGTGCCCGTTCTATCTGTGTTGATATGTCTTTCCTTTCTTATTAGTGTAGTGTAGTGAGGGCGCACTCGTGGTAGAAGGCAGATGGATTTAACTTCTTTCTAAGAGTCGGAGACCCAAGGCCGGCTAGTCTCTTTCTGGGCTGACCCTCCTGACTCATGATTGTCAAAGATCATGTCATGTCGAGTGCGAGCTAGGGCTGAAGGCCCAAGGCTGTTGGTTTTGGAATAGGATTAGACTTGTCCATAAGATCTGTCCTTTCCAGCACAAGGAACCTTATAGCACTTGGAAAAAAGCGGCTCTGGATCTGGCATCAACAGCGGATCCTGTCTGATCAGAGCACCGGTTTTGGCATCGGGAGTTGATTCAATAAGAGTCAT